TACATACTCCATTGCCACCTGCTGGCACGAGGAAGGGTAATTCTGTCTCACCCTACCCAAGACATGAAGGTCTTCAAGGTGCCTGGTGCCAGCTAGGACTACTCCATTTTTGTGCAGGATCTATTTTAGATGGTATATTTTCTTATTATGCAATGTTTCAGAAGGCGCATAAGGAATGTTGGTCACGGCCCAAGAGACTTGCATTAGCAAGTTAGAGAAGTATGAGTAAAATAGAGATGAAAGAGCCGGGTACGTTCTCAAAGGTGCAAGATTTGGGACAGTGGGTTTTAAAGAGAATAAGGTATCCTTGCAAAGCAAAAGGCTATTCCAGGCACAAGGGGAACAAAAACAACGGCCCAGCAACAAAAGACAAAGGCAGTGATTAAAACAAATCTTGCAAAGCCGTGTGTAGTCCAGCAAAGAGCTACACGGACAGATTCTGTGCAAGAGCAAGCAGGGAAGATGATATAACCTCTAGAGGAAGGATTAAGTGTCAGGATCTTCATTCAGTGGCATTGTTCTTTATTTTCCTGTTGCTCTGGCCCTCATTAGCCTCCAAACCACCACTGCATGGGGGCTGCATACTAGTGTGTAACAAAGGAACGCACAGTCCCCCGTAGAGCTAGTCATCTAGCAGATGGCGTATACTCCTTTCACAGTAACTTCAGAACTCCCACGGGGATATGCGTGTAAGTCTAAAAACTAAAAAAAGCACAATATGGAATATATTTCTGGGTAGTATAGAGCATGTCCCCTTCCAACCCGTTGCATCTACATCTAGCAGTGCTATTTGCTACATTTTTTAATGATTAGGTCAATAGCAACAGTGAAAGTACTAAAGGTTAAAGCTTTCAGAGTGTGCCGTTGCCTGTGCCTCAGCCTTACGGTTGTCAGCAGTACTACACCGCGACAGTGGCTTTGCAAAAATTTTCGACGGTGCACAGATCGGTAAAAGCTCCATCGAGCATCAGTACTCTTTAGCTGAGCATTATTCCATTTTAAAGGGCTAGCGAAGTTTGGGAAAACAAAACGTAAGATAAGAAGGGTTAAAAGTTTAGCAAAATTAATACTATGGATAAAACGGCTTAGGTTATTGGGTATGTTCAGTTAGGGAGGAAAATAGCTACCGTGGGTTTTGTGTTACTTCATAGGAGCAGAGTTCTGCTTTCACTTTCATCTTCAAGACTGCTCAATTTGGTAGAGCAGCACAGGGTTCATATGAGGGCAGAATTTGTCTTTCCAAGTTCAGATACAACTAAGTTCTATTTGGCCCCTAATGAATAATGGTCATTATGAGAGTTTGGCTGATTAATTGTTGAAGGCTGCATCTTGTCTCCTGAACAGATCTCAAACAAATGGGTCTTGCACAAGATTGCTCCTTTTAAAGCTAAGTAACCCTGGTGCACTGGAAAAATTCAGCCAGGTGTTACGGATGTGGTCCCATATCAAAAGGAAAAAAAAACCCAAAGAATACCGCAGGACTGCTTTGTAGCTCAGCATCCCGCACAGTTGTGTTGTCTGCAAGACTCTTCATGATTCCCTGTTAGGCTCCAGAGTTTGGCCCTAGCTGGAGAATACAATTTAAGGTGAAAAGCATGTCTTGATAATGCTCAAAATCTAACAAAGATGCAGACATTTTTTCCTTTGAATTACTCCTTTCTTAAAAGGTTAAATTCTCATTTTAAAATAAATCATTTTCCATGCAAATAAGTAAGAGCCATAAGGAGGGTAATTATGACGGTATTTTAAAAAATTCACTACCATTTCTTTGCCAAAAAAATCCCTGTGTTCTCATGCTTTGTTTTTCCAGGCTCTAAAATTTGTCCTGCAATTTAGTAATGTTAAAAAGACAGAATAAGCTACTGACATATTTCCAGATCAAATGTCTCTGTTTTCTAGCAATAAATTTGGCTACCCTCCGATAGCAATGACTTGTTTGAAAACCTGAAAATCTTTAAATATTGTTAATTGCTCTGAAAATGTGAAACGAATCTTTTGAACAAGAACATTGGCAAATGGAAAACATTTTACATTTAGAATTTGTAATGCTGGCTTTCAAAATATTCCTTTAATATTCAAAACAGTTTCATCAATTAAACAAAACCTAGAGGTAGATTTGAATTCCCTCTCACTTTTATTGCTGGCCCTAACACACAAATCAGAGAGGATGTATTTCTAATACAAGAATGTTCTGCAAACCAGTAAATCTGGGATTATCTCTTCGGACTGATTATGTCAAAGCTCTTTAGCCACAGCACTTTTGGAGAGCTAAAAATAAATAGCAGGGGGTTTGTACATTTATTCTGTACCTAAATAATCTGTGCGTATTGTGTGTGTCTGTCTGTCAACAATGTGAGACATGGTACCTGGACTTAACATTTATTTATAAGAGTTCTTTTCCTAGTAAGGATTTTGGCAAAGGGTTTAAACCAAACTGTCCTACTAGAAGCATTCATGGGATAAAGTCTAGTGCAAGTTTACAAGAACTGAGTTCAGATCAGAAGCATTTACTGCAGATTGGTATTAGGGCAAACTTTGGCCCCATATATTTTGAAAATGGATGAAAACTAGTTCTCTTCTATCTTACCAGTGATTAAACAATGTTACGTCATTGAATATAGAAAACTGTAATCCTGATTTCTATGCCACAATTCTGCACTATTAAAGAACTGCAGAATTTTTGCATTTAATCTGTATGAGAACAAAATCAAGTTCTTACAGCAGTTAGCAGAAAGTTAGGCATGCTATCATTTGCCTCCTGGTCCTAAAGCATGCAAGAGGAAAATCTTCTGAACATGCTGGGACTTTAATTTAGAGGGATATCTTCAGTATTAAGCCATAATGACTAATTTTTTTTAGTTTTGAATTGAAAAAAAAAAAATCATGGCATTTCCTGACAGTGTGGAAGACATTGCAGAAAAATTCAGCAAAGACATTTTCCACAGTGTATTTACAAATATAAATATATTCATAATATAAATACGAATACATCTATTTCCCTGTGTTGTGGAATAATGGGAACGATGTTCTTGATTAGACACATTTCCTCTTAAAATGGAATTTTATTCACAACTCTCTCCTAAAACGTGTAAGGAGTTTCTTCATATTCTTCATGTTGGCTATCGTCTGACTTGGTAAACACTGGAAACTTAGGGAAAGTTGCTCTTATTCCTAGTAAAAATGGTACATTCACTTTCCTAGAATGAAATGATTACTGTACCTGAGAATGGTCAGTATCTGCTGCGTTGTATTTTCTGTAGCGACATGTTGCTCAGTTATACTTCTGTTTTAACTTCTGTGACATTGATCCTGCAGCCCAGTAAGGCGATGCACGTTTTTGTATTACACTCGTGAAGGAATGGAGTCCATCCAGTGCTGCTCTGACCAAATAAGCACTTACGCCTTGCTTTTACACGTAACTGGAGCTTTTGGGTTTGTTGGTTTTTTAAGGATAAGAACTGAGGATATGGCCTTTATCTTCCCCATTTTCTTTTTCTTGCTTGGTCCTTACTCCTCAGGTGTTGTTTCAGTTGAAGTAGTGGCTAAATTCACAGACTACCAGTTCAGAGAGAGGTTAATCTAGTTAACGCAGCTCAAGATGTGATTTACGTTAGCACCGTTATTTACCTCTTGGTGAACAGTGGTGTTGTCCTCATCATAGCCAACTTACTCTGAGCTCAGAGTACTCAAAGGAAAGGTGTGACTACAAGGTGAGATCACTGCACGGTAGCATTGACTGGAAAAGTGATCCCCATACCCATAACTCAGTGGAGTGGAACATTGACTCATATTCCTGCTTTAACATATCGATTTCCATAATCGGATATTCAAGAGAGCATTCTTGAAGACAGAAAGACAAAAATCTGTTTTCACTTGAAAAGGTGACTCTAGAGTAGTTCCATCATGGCACTTCATATTTAATTAAACCAGTGCACCTGGAAGGTGAGTGTAGGCATGGGCTTTAGGTACACTCTATGTTAGAAGTTGGGAGAAGAGCTGTTTGTCTTTTCTGGTGTATATTGTATGTACAGTATTTTTCAGCTAGGTCTTGTAATGAACTTACATTACAAAATTCATCTTTGCACTGGCTTGACTATAAAAACTGTGAATTTATTAGCAAGATTTTTTTAAGTGAAAAGAAGCTATTTCCTTTACCAAGAACACATTATTCCAGAAGGGAGAAGAGGCTGTGTCTTGCCCACACACAGTATGGCTAGCATGCATACCACCAATCATAAGGTGTACAGTGTTCTCACCCGCAAACAGTAAGCCTATTCCATTTATCTGTCCTTACCGAGCCTCGATCAGGTTCTTTCCATTGATACAGAATCTTACCAAAAACTATAAAGCAGCTTAGACTGCATGTCAAATGTAGGGTTTAAGCCTTAAAAAGTAGTACTGACTCCCTTTTATTACATGTGTAAAGGCTGTGGAAGCATGTCCAGAATTTGGTCTAGAGGACATGTAAAGAACGTCCTTTTTTGCATTTATTCGTCAACCTTTTTCTGCAAGAAGAGGAATGGCTTAATGATGCTGGAATATTAGTTCATGTTCTAACAAACTGAGCGTATTTCCGTGATGTGATTCCACATTTGGTCAGCTTCCTCTTGACCGCTGTGCCTCAGCCTTTAACTGGTCTGATGGCGATGTTAATACCTTGCTAGCTTGTCGGAGCTTTGTAAGACTTTGCTAGTCTGGGCTGTACGCTGTTGCTGGGTTAATTGTCTACAGCTCTATCAATTAACAGGAGACGTCACCAGTCTGTATCAGGAGTCTCTTACAAAAGCATTTTCTCTAATGTATTGGGAAATGAGACCTTCAGTCCAGGTTCTAGCACCCAGAAGACTCCACATTTTGTTTGTAAAATCTCATAGTTGGCGAGAAAAAGAGAATTCTGTATTTGAAAGTGCTGTAATGATCATTACAAATCCAGATTCCATCTGGTATTTCTTGTTTTGAGATTGGCAAGCCTCTTTTTTTTTTTTCTTGTTTCTTTTTAGCCATGTGACACAGACAACGTCATGGATCCATCCCGTAACAAGCGCACTAAGCTTGCTTTGCTCTGAGGACGATGACGATGGAATAAGAGAGCTTCCCGGGTCCAAGAGCTGAGGACGTCTGTTAACAGAAAGTAGTTTGTCTAGTTTCAGTACATTAGTGATGCACACTTCTTAATCTGCGTGTTTTCTAGTCTAATGTAATAGTACCCGATGACGTTTTTCCCCTTCAAGTACAAAAGGTGCAGGGGCTGCAGAAGTCTCCCTTCAGTCCTTAATCTGTCCCAGTTCGGTGTGCAGGGATCAGTCTTATCTTAAGGCCTGATCCAGCCTGTTCATGACTTCTCTGTCGGCGTAACTCTACCGACCTGAAGTGAAAGTTTCACAGCTTTGACCGGCACGAGGGTTAAGACTGGGACATTGGTTGTAATTTCACATGGTAAATTCCCGGTAATGGTTGACTGAAAGATGCAAGGTGAGCTTTTTTCCTTTTTTTAACCAATGCTAGTGATGTAATGTAGATGCCTTTTCTTCAACTACTGAAAATTTTTACTTTTATGGAAGAAATTTGCAAATTAGTTTTGCTAATAGAAATTTAGCAATTTATTACAAGTATTGGAGCCCTGATGGCTTTTAAAACAAATACTTATTAAGATTGGTGGTTTGGGCCTTAGAAAAATGAGTCTTTGATAAGTTGTCAGGTAAAAAGAAACAGTTTTGGTAGAGGACACCATACTCTGTCAACAATATGAGGCAAGAATGAAAATTATTCTACTTTTGTACTCTGCTAAACCGATACATACATGCATCAAATACTTCAGTGGAAGCTGTGAAGTTTCAAGTACAATGAAACCTGTGAAACCACCTCCAGGATCAGCAGCAATCAGTCACCTCCTCAAAGTTGGTCTTTAAGTAGAACAAAATCATTTTGTGCACATTGGTGATGATTTAAAGAGGATACAGAAAATGACAGGGGGTGCTGGTGCAATCTAATGAACAGGTTTCACTGTACCTCTGTCGTGGTTTAACCCGGCAGGCAGCTAAACACCACCCAGCCGCTCGCTCACTCCCCCCTCAGTGGGATGGGGGAGAGAATCGGAAAAAAGGTAAAACTCATGGGTTGAGATAAAGACAGTTTAACAGGTAAAGCAAAAGCCG